TTTATTTGTCTTAAAAAACATTTCTAACTTCATTTTTTCTTTCTCACTTTATTTTTTTTTACAAATTGTGGTTACAACTGCTCAGAAATTACCATTCGTCGCACCCTTCATTCACTTGGACTAAGAAGTTGTGTTGCACGACGAAAACCTCTCATTTCATCAGCAAATAAAGAGGCACGACTTGCATGGTTTTTAGAACATGAAAGTTGGACAAAAAATGATTGGGCAAAAGTATTATGGAGTGATGAATTGACCTTTACTCAATTTCAGCAAAGTCGTACTAGCAGAGTATGGAGAGAACCAGAAGATGAATGGTCACTCTCTTGTGTTTCAGCCACAGTTAAACACAGCCCAAGCTGCATGTTTTGGGGTTGTTTTTCACGAAAAGGGATGGGACTGATTGTACCACTTCATGGATCAGCAATCGGAGCTACTCACGTTGAAATCCTGCGAAAATATGCTTTACCTACAATGAAGCGCATGTTTCCAAGAAACAATGTAATTCCAAATATGTTAGCCTACAGAAGGGATAGTAATGCAATAATTTGACTTGTGTTCGTAGTTCTAGATGATATATATGATGACTTCAAACACCAGAATTATGTAATGCCAAAGAAAAATATTAAAGATGATCTTGAAGAATTTAAGGATGTCGAACGATTATCTTTGGTTCTCAATAATGTGAAACAATACGTTTTGAAAATTGATATGTCTATGCGTCAACAAGAGTGATCATGAATTAAGGGTAGAGTATATGACGTCATCATAAATATATAACTATATGGCAAAAAAAAATGTTAAAAATCATTTATGCGTAATGCCGGCTGAAATTAATTCTGGCCTACATTAACAACTTTACAACTTTGAAATAAACCGTTTTAACCATTTTTTAATGATTATATTACTATTACTATTATTGTTGTTATTACTATTGTTATTAGACTATTATTGTTATTATATTATTGTTATTATATTATTATTGTTATTATTGTTATTATTACTATTACTACCATTATTATTACTTGCTCATTATTACATGTAATTATTATAGCACTTATCGACTAGTTTTTATTAGGTATCGTCAATCTTCAGTATTAGTTTTAGCAATGGTTCCATCTATAATATCAATAATAAAAATGCTACAAGTAAATGTTTGTGCCGTTGGTGACCTTGTTAAGATTATATCCTCTTTTACAAGATCATGTAAAACCAAATCATCTAATAACAAAAATGCATCCTCTTTAATTTTGAGTTTTCTTGAAAATTTCTCTAAGTAAATTAGCAGTTCTCCAAACTTGTTTTTAATATCCTTTGCTTGAGACTGACGGAATAAATCAACTACATTATTTCTTGTTATCTGTTGTCTTTCGTCTGTAATAATCTCTATTATCTCCAACATTTTTCTACATCTGTTCAGATATCAATCCAAGATGGATTATCAGATACACAGCGAAGACAATTATCACAAACATTGCATTCATTTGATGTTGAATTTCCTGGCCATGCAAAATAATCAATAAGTGCCTTTTTCCTACATTGATAAATTGAAGAACAGTAAAATAATACCTCCCGAATTTTATATTTTGCTTCAGATAAATATTTAGTATGCTCTATTGATTCCACCTCTTCCCCTTCATTAGCATTGATACTTGTAAGATTTACATCAGTAACGTTACAATTAATTTACCATAAATACTATACATTTCATTAGATAATATGTTGAATTTATCTAAATTGTCTGTTTGAATAAATTCCCATTATTGTTCTAATGTCTTTTCGGCTATACATAATAATTGCCTTTACAGGTAATCCATCACAACCTGCATGCCCACTTTCCTGTACTAAATTACCTATAAAAAATATATATATATTAGATATATTATTAGCATCAACTTTTATAGTGATTTTTTTTTAACTTACTTATAGACATCGGGAAACCTGCATGAATTACTATACGAATATCTAGAATATTTATACCCATTCCAAATGCGTTGGTGTCAACCATTATTCGAAATTTTCCAGATCTTCAATCTAAAAGAACAGCTGATTTTTGTTTAGCAGATAATTCACTGTGATACATAGCAATTGTTTCTTTGGAAACTTTGCTTTGAAGCTCAGTGGTAATATTTTCACAACTCTTTATAGAAAGGCAATATAAAATGCATTTTCTGGTCTCTATTTTATTATAAATGTTAATAATGTCATTCAAAAATTGTTCTTTGTTTTCCTTTTTTTTTGTACTTCATAAATAATTTGATTATTCTCAAAAGCTATGTTACGAATAAGAGAAGCTTGTTGATAGTCTATTCCAAGTCTTGTGGTAATTTCCTGCAAATCAATTTGATAGCAAGTTGCAGTAAGAAGCAAAATAGGTGCGAAAGGAAAAATTTCTTTAAGATTTCTAAGATAAGCCCATGATTTACTAATAAAATAATTTTAATTAGATAAGAATATCAAATTAAAAAAAATATTTAAAATAACTTACCGAAAGTTTTCTTGATCCAAAATGCAATGCGCTTCATCCACTACAAATCTGATACCATTTGTTGTACCATATCTTTATAGCATTGATCTGAAGCCTGCATTCATTTAAAACTTCTCGGAAGTTGTAAATATAATTTTTGTTAACCCACAAGCAATTTCTTCAAAAACTTTTTTTTGATACCGCAATGGTTATTCTGTTAATGCATAAAGACCACTACAAGGAATTCCTGCTTTGATCGACTCCATTACTTGATCATCTATAAGTGCTTTTAAAGGAGAAAATACTATGTTAATTCCTTGTGAAAGAATAGCTGCTATAGTATAACACAAACTTTTACCACCTCCTGTTTGTTTTATAACAATTGTATCTTGATTTTGTGCAAAAGATTGAATTACTTCTTTTTGTTCACTTCGAAAATCATTGAACTGGTATATACCACGTAGTGCTGATATACACATTATTTCAAAGCTAATATTATTGAGTTTTTCAATTTTAGGTTGATAATTTTTATCAACAATTCGATCTCATAATCCATTTTTGATATAGAAACGACAAATATAACAAAAACCTTTTGCTGTACATTTTGGAAATGCGTGACAAGTAACACATTTTGTTATTTCATCAAAATCTGGTATTTGTAAAGCAAAAGAAGAATAGAATTGATTTGCATCAATATTGCATTGAGCTTTTTTGCCATAAGGTATAAGTTCTTATTGAAAAAACATTTACAACATAAATAAATATATATGTGCATATTTAATAATAATTAATTAATTAATAATGATATAGATTACCTAAGACCAGTCAAATGTTTCAAGATCTTCTCGTTTATTTTTCAATTTATTTGCTCGTTCTTGGTTTTGTTTTTGGATATTTGTAACATTACGTAAACATTGCTGATTCCGTTCCAATTCAATCTTACTTATATTGATAAGATCCTAATCAGACAAAACAACATTGCATGCCAAATGAGTCACATTTATCATTTCGCAAATTCCTTTATTATTATGTAAAATTGCCAGAGCATGTCTTACTGGGTATGACTTTCAATAATCAATTCTCTTGTCAAGATAAACTAATTTAAGTCAGTTAAATGCTTTATTTTGTGATGTGTGAGTTTTTATGACAATACCTTGATTGATAGGAAGACGAAAAATTGTCTCTAACATGGATTTGAATTTTTCACGTTGATAAGGAGTATAGAATTTGAGAGTAGGCTCTGAAAGTTGCAGCTCAGGATTATTCTTTATCCAACAGACTTCCGGCCAACACAATTTATGATTACCACAAAGATGTTGAAAAAGACCTTCTATCTGTACATTACGAATATCTTTTTCCTGTATAGAACAATTTTCTTTCTCACTTTTTTGAATACCTGTAGCATATATACAGCTAGTAAAATAAAGCATAATATGTTGTTTAAAATCACGCCATTGAGGAAATTTGTTCACTACAAAATGTATGACAGTCAGATTTTGTTTAAAAAATTAATAGTCACTTAATAAAAATTATTTACTTAACATAAGTTTTTGCAAATATTTTAGTAACATGCTTAAAATCAGCAAAAATTTGGTTGACAACCGCAACATTTCCTAAGGTTTTGTTAGAATCCATATCACCATCAATAGTAACATTTATAAGCATGTTGTGTTCTTCTAAAATTGGAGTTAATTTTCCAAGAATACTAATCAGGATAGCGTGTTCCATCTAACGAGAACTTAAATCAAAGTTGCCTTCTCTTATAA